CCAGCCGGTCTCAGTCGCCCGCGCTGATTGTCAGGAGCTCGGTCCAGAGCACCTTGCAGGCGTCGGCTTCAATTGGATCCAGGGAGAACAAACTGGCCTAGAAGGCCATGGCCCTTCCAAGCATCTCTGCTGGATCCGTGAGGGGGGTGCTGTCCTCTGCCAGAAGGCAGACTATGCTCGAGGGCTCGGGCTTACCTACGGTGCTGGCCAGGAGTCAGGCTGGACCTTTTAAAGGGGCAGGACTAGAACTGTTGTCCTGCCCAGAACTGTGAGCTGATAGACTTGCGTATATGGTGAACTTCTTCCCCTGCAGCCCGGACCTGAAGCAAGGCCGGGCACGTGAACTATTGCCTCTCGCCCTGACCTGAAGCAAGGCTGGGAATAGACTCACTGACTTGGACTGTTTTAAGGCATAGTAGGGTAGTAGGGCAGACTAGCCGCCCACTGCACCAGGGGTGGAAGAACCGCCTCCCGAAGGCCTATCGACCTATAACCAACCAGCCCCCGGAAGGGGGGAAGCGTAGAGGCTGGTGGGGCACGTGAACTATTGCCTCTCGCCCTGACCTGAAGCAAGGCTGGGAATAGACTCACTGACTTGGACTGTTTTAAGGCATAGTAGGGTAGTAGGGCAGACTAGCCGCCCACTGCACCAGGGGTGGAAGAACCGCCTCCCGAAGGCCTATCGACCTATAACCAACCAGCCCCCGGAAGGGGGGAAGCGTAGAGGCTGGTGGGGGCACTGCCAGAGGGCAGTGTCCCGAAAAGGATCCTGCCACCTGCCGTCTGAGCTAATTCCCAGGACCGATGGCTGGTGGCGCTGTGGCGGTAAGTGTACTCCACTACAGTCCTCCACATCCTAGGGCAAAAGGGGTCTCATGAATCACTCAATAGGGCAGAGATTTCACAACATACAGACATAAGCCTTCCATAGGGTGACTTCTTTCCTGGCCAATATTCTTCTCCTGATGACCCTGCCTTGAAATGTTGGGTCCTTTACGAGTCCTCAGGATGTTGGAAGCTCTCTCTCCTGCCCCCTTTTTGGGTTGGATTTGGGTCATTGGTCTCAGGTGGTTTGATTTTTGGAAGACCGTGGCTTAATGTACCTGCTTTACCAGAAAGACCAACAATATAAACAGGCACCAGTCTGTGTCTTGTGACCTGCTCAGAAGCCCCTCAGGATGCAAAGCATAAATCTAGCATGGATGGCCTATTTGGCTCTGAGGTGGCTGCTGTTACATGTACATTAATTCGATTGCTACCCAGGCTGTGTGCAAGGCTCAGGAAGGGTTAACACAGACAACTTCCAGAGCTGAATGCAATGTTCCTCTGTAGTGCCCTAATTTTGAAAACAATCCTATCTGAAATCATTTTCCTTTTAAACCTGTAATTAGTTAGAGTCATTTGCCGCATGCAAATTCCAACCCTTAATTGCCAGCGCTAACCTTGAGAAGAGCGTGTGCACAAGCCAGCTCTCCTGCAAATACGAGTCTGGGCCACTGCTGCCCAGCCAGGAGCGGAGAACCCTCTTTGTGGGGCAGTTTGGACACAGCAATCCCTTCGCGTGTCCTGCATCTACAGCATGTGACTGGCTGGGCCACTCTGCACCCTGAAGGAAAAATGGATCCTTTCTCCCTGCAGCCAGGGGCCAGACCTGGAGCTTTCAAGGGGGTGTGAGGCAGGAGAAAGCGAGAGAGAAGGAATAAAAAGAAATAAAGACCAGGGGGTGTAGCAGGGTGACCTCTGATTATAAAGTTGAGCCCGATAGTCCAAGAGAATTAGGTAGAAGGTGGAGTATCGCCAGGCTTCTTGTAGAAATGAAAAAAACCCAGGAGCTGCTACTTGCACCATTCAAGAAGAGAGAGGCTGTGAAAGCATTTATTAGGAATTGTTATGATTTGTTCAGTGGAGCACCTCAGGGATGGGTGCTTGCAGATTCAGGGCTAAGGCTTTGCCCTGCAGAAATCCTCTGGAAAAGCTTTGCCCCATCTGCTGAGCCTGTCAGGCAAGGGAATGGTACTCACACACTGAGGGACTCTCTGCTGAGCCAGGCCCAGGGACGGCAGCAAATGGCTGGTTCCAGCCCAGTCTTTGCACTGTTATTGCACCAGTGCATTCTGGGGCATCAGAAGCACCTTGTTTATAGTGCTGCTGGGAGCAGGAGATAATCAGCCTTTTCCCTGAGCCCAGGCATGAAGCCAGGGGCCACTTGTGCCAGGTAGCTGCAACGTTTGTGCCATCCCATCCGGACCTGGATGAAGCCAGTGCAGATGGTACCAGTTCAGAGGAACCTGAGCAACATTCCCCTGTTTCAACTGACCTGTGCAACCTCAGAGCACATGGGCAGCTCTTGCACTGGCATGCTACACCCGTTACACACTTTACAACCATTTATAGGGTTTCCAGGTGTCTGTCCGATATTTTTGCCTCCTGCTAAGTAAAAAAAATCAGAAAATACCGGAGACCTAAGCCAGGTGTCCAGTATTGACCCAGACAGTCCGGTATTTTCACCTCCTGTTCATTAAAAAAATTCAGAAAATACCGGATATCTAAAATGTCCGATATTTTCTGATTTTTTCCCCAGCCAAGAGGCGAAAATCCCGGGTGCTTACCTGGTTCCGCAGGGGAACTGTCCGGCCCAGAGCAGAAAGACAAGATGGCGGACAGCTGTGAACAGCTTGTTAGGGCCAAAAAGCCTCAAAAGCGTTTCTTAAAGGGGCCACATTTTTTTATTACTATTATTTATTTATTTTGCTTAACAACTCTCTGGGTCCTTTTTTCAGAAACCACCTGGCAACCCTAGCAACCAAGAATATCTTCTCACTGAAGTGCAGGTAAGGCCTGAGCAGGCATCCTCATGCTGCCCGTGACCCCTGGGATGTCTGAGTTCACATAAAGAAGTGGGGTGGAAGCTGATTGTGATGGAGTGACAGAGCCCAACACACCTCCTCCACTGTTCCAGGGCAGGGGTTTATAATGCCACGAACCAGGAAGCTAGTTAACCCTAAATCAGCTGGAGCAGCAACATGTGTGTCCTGGTGCAGCAACCACTTTGCCTGAGAAAGGTCAATATTTCCACAGGCATCATCTCTACCATGCCGCCCTCCCCCAGGCAAGCTCTCTGCCATAGAATCATAGAATACTAGGATGGGAAGGGACCTCGAGAGGTCATTGAGTCCAGTCCCCTGCTCTCATGGCAGGACCAAATACTGTCTAGACCATCCCTGATAGACATTTATCTAACCTGCTCTTAGATATCTCCAGAGATGGGGATTCCACAACCTCCCTGGGCAATTTATTCCAGTGTTTAACCACCCTGACAGGTAGGAACTTTTTCCTAATGTCCAACCGAAACCTCCCTTGCTGCAGTTTAAGCCCATTGCTTCTTGTCCTATCCTCAGAGGCCAAGATGAACAAGTTTTCTCCTTCCTCCTTATGACACCCATCATGTGCCCACAGATAGATAGGGTGGTAGTTAGCACTCGGGCATTGGCAAGGGCTTCCCAAAATGCTTCTCCTCCAGTGTGTGGCAGGGCTACCAGCTCCCCTCCTCTTCCAGAGAATGAAAAGCCCCCTACCACCCATTCTTCCCTCCCCAACCCCAACCTCTTTAGCTCATCCTTGATTTATCTTTCCTTGGCTGGCCCCAGGACAGGAGTAGAGTGATGAAATTCTGCTAAACGAATAAGCAAATTCCTCTCAGAGCAGGTAATATTTTACTGTGCTCTGCCCAAGCCCAAGTCACCTGCCTGCTCATTTACTCACACCCTGCTCAGGCACATGTGCCTCCTCAGAGTGAAATTTGAGATATTTTAGCCCACCTTTATGGAACGGGGAGGGAAGCTTACACTAGAAGAGATTTTTTTTCTTCCCCTTTTTAGTTTTAGGGACAGTTCAAAAATTTCACCAAATTTGCACCAGATTTTCGGGTTGCCGTCTGGCTGCTTTTTTTATTGATTTGCCAGTTGCCAGAAAACGAATGTAATCTGCTGGGTATTTTTTACCTAGGACAAAAAAAGATTTGCAGTGTCATCCCAATACACGGAGGTAATGAACGTTAAAAGTTCTGGTAACACTGCTGCAGGGTCCCCCCCATCCTCAGCTTAAGTAAGAAAATGATTCTACCAATCCTCTCTCTCTGTTATTGCCCTAGATACCATATGGGACCATTGCAGAGAGCAGAGGTTGCAGAATTACCTTGTGATGGAGTTACAATGGGCTTAGTTGAGGTGTGGGGTGCTGGGTTTTTTGCATTTCAAAGCTGGTGATAACCCTATTTGAGCCCCATTGAGGTTGTTGTAAAATATGCCCTGCTTCCAGGAGACATGCTTGCCATGATAGGTTCTGAAATGAATTAGGTGCTGGAGAACGGCCCTGGATGTCAGTCCAGCAGGTGGAAATCTGCTCTGATCCACTGACCAAGGGCAGTCTGGATCAGGATTTCCTGTAAGCTGAGCACTTGTGCAGCTGCTCAGGAGAGATTCCAATGCCACCCAGCTGATTAGCAGAGCCCCCACAGCCAGGCTTTATCTTTCTCCTGGTGGTGCACATCTGACCATGCCTTGTGCACATCAACATTTATTCTGCACATGGCTGGAAAAAATGCACACATGCATGGAAATGATTAGAGGGGACCTTGGTCTGGATCCAGGACCAGCGCTAGGTAGAAGAGGAATCATTGCTTGGCCCCACTGCTGAGGCCAGTAATGAGAGCCAGAAAAGAGGCTAAAGCCAGCTCCATGTTGGAGTTTGCCTCCATTCTGAGCAACCACGTGGTTTGTCTTTGCTCTCTGCCAGCTCACCCAGATCTTAAGTGACAAAGGCCAAAGTCTCTGTTTCTGGCCCTATGGCACGTACGCTCAGACAGGCCAAGTCCCTGAGCTTTGGCTGCTATAACCACGTTCTGTGTGTCTGGGTCATCCTCCCCTCCACATTGGGTGGCATGGGAGGAAGGATGCTCTGCTTCACTCTTGAAGGTTTCCAGGATGAAGCAGGCCTAGGGATCCAAGTCACGTGCCCATTCAATGCCAGATGCTGTCATATCCCTTCCGGGGATGCTGAGTTTGCACACATGCTGGCAGAGGGCAGTGGTGGTTGCTGCATGTTCATCCCAGCTGGGCTGCAAGGAGAAGGTGGGGCATCAAGAAATGGACCGCTCCTCTGCCAGCCATCCCTCGGAGCATCCAGACTCACTGCAGGAGCCAGAGATTTCCCCGCAAAGTGACAAGTGATGGGACGTCAAAACGTGGAACATCATTGGGAAAGCTTGCAGACCAGTGAGTGAAGGGGATTCCCTGAAGAAGCTCTGCATGCCAAACCAAGGCCTGCTCTGGTGCAATGTGGATGTCAGGTCAGTTTCCCCTTTCTAAGGAGTGCTCTGGGAACTTGTGGGACAAAGCCAGTCCGTGAGCTGAACTCCTTCCTCCTAATTACCAGGGATGGGGGGAAGTTTCATGCCGACTCTATTATTGGAAATTGTAAAACCACATTAGAAGAGGCAGCATTTACAGCCTGATGCGTGCGGACAGTTTGTCTCTTTCTGACTCAGGGAAATTGATTATCTATCAGAGAGGCACACAGGTCAGGTCTCCAGCTGTTCTTTATCACTTGCTTCCTGGGAGCCAGAGTGGGCTGTGTGCTGCAGTCAGAACCCCCCATGATGGGTCAGTGATAGGGGTGATACAGGCAGGGTGGGGCCTACTGGATCCAAGTGACACAGCAAGGTCCCTTGCTCCTCAGACTCCAGCTCTCCAAAGGCAGTGCATTACTGGCTTAGCTACTGGCTCCCCTCAGCCCAATGGATAATAAGGATGGTCTGTTGCCAGAGGCCAGTGCTTACCCTGCCTGAGGATATGGGGGCCAGCTGGCATAGCCAAGAGTGTGCTCCACAGTGTGAGGGCAGCCGCAGCTCTGTGCACTCATGACCAGGTGAGAACCAGCATTGCAGGGAGCACGCGCTGCACCCTATTGTTGTAGCTGCTGCTTCTGACGCTTCCTGCCCCGCCATGCTCATCTCTCACCTCAACCCTCCACTGCCAGCTGCTCCTAGAGTCCTGTACCCTGCCCCCAGCCTGCATGGCTGGCCCCTGGTCTCTTCCCTGGAAAGCCTGCAGAGCGGAGGAGAGGGTATCCCCATATGCACATCCCAGGGAGAACCTTGGCCAGCAGGACGGCTCATGAGTGCTCAGACGGAGTCCAGCATCTGGATGTGTGGGGAGAAGCAGAGAGCTACAGAGCAGCTGGATGCAGATGTATCCATCCTTGAAGCCCTGATTCACTCATCCCAGAGTTTGGGGGCTCCCCCTGCAGACACTGCTCCTCACAGCATGCAAAAAGGAGTCCATGCCTCTGGCCTGCCCATCGCCCCCACGACTGGAGCCAAGAGGACTCACTAATTTGGTTGGAAAGCTCAATTCAGTGCTACTCCTTCTCCTCTTCTTCTTCTTCTTGACTGTGTCTAAACTACATGGCTCCATCAATGGAGCCATGTAGTGTAGACGTACTTGATTGCAGATTCCAGTCCTGTTTTTTTCAGCTCTGTGATTTTTCTCGTGTGGTTTCCATGCCCAGAGATTTTTTTATCTGCAGCCAGCAGAAAAAAACTTCCACTTGTTCTTCTTCATCTTTTATTTTCTTTTTCTTTCATGTTGTAAAATCCAAAAGGCAGTTCTGTGCTTTGAGATGAAGCAAGCATATTCCTTTAGCAAGAGAGGAGGCCGGTGTCAAAGGTAGAACATGACCTTGTCACTGCGCTTTTTCAAGGAGATCACCTCGCGGGGGTTGCTAAGCATCACCTTCACATGCAGCGTGTCACAGCCTCCTGTACGGTTCACAGCCCACCTTGCAACCTTGGAATGTAGGGGCCAGGCCAGCGAATCCCCCAGCATCGGGGGAGCAGGACCAACTCATCCTGTGGGAATCAACTGCCCCTCCCAGTGTGACAGATGCTTCTTTCTGGAGATGGTTGGTTAACCTCACAGGAATGGAGTGAGCCTTTCTCTCCAAGGAGAGGGAGAGGAGGTTTAATACCATCAACAATTGCCCAGGCCTTTGAAAATGGTGCTGGGGCTTAACCTGATGGCTGCTGTAAATGGCACAGCGTCATTGTTATTGGAGTCATACCATCATAGTCCTACACAGGGTGAAACTTGAGAGAACAGAGGAGGTCTGGGAGTTATGTTGTAGGAGGAAGAGCCAGAAGTAAATGATGCAAGGGGGCTGCAATTCAGTAACTATGGAGCTTCGTTTTTATATCTCCTGGCTTTCTGTCCCAGTGCCTGCCCCCTGCTAGTTCTGTCACAGCACCTGCACTATTCTAACTCTCTGTCTCAAGCACCTGCTTCCTGCTAGCCAGCTTGCAAGCTGATTGGGCAGAGACAAACTTTTGTTCTGGGTGAACATAGTGCCCCTCACAATGACCCATGCCCAGTACAGCTTTGGGGTGCCAGCCCATCAGCGTGGCCCTCCCAGCCAGTAGGACCAAGCTCCAAGGGACTCCACCACGCCGATGACCTAATGATTATCTTATCTCTGTCTCAGTGGAGGCTTCCTGCCCAGCAGAGCATTGAGGCGAGTGGAAAGGAAAGATCATGGGACAAGGATACAAGTCTGCTCTCTCTGGTCCAATCATGCAATGCCCAATGCTCCTACTAGCCCTTCCCAGGAGTTGCTTGCACACATGTCCTCTGCATGGGTCCTCACAGGGTCGCTCTTCCTCTCCACCCTCCAGCTGGCTCGCTCCAGCCTAGGTCAGGGCTGAGGCGCACAGGCAATGCACAGAGCGTATGTGTGACTCTTGTGCTGCAGCCAGGCCCAGCTCGGATAAGCTCAAGTG